AGAGCAGAAGATAAGTGGGGTGCAGAACTCAAATTCTAGTCAAAAGACCAGACTTAATGATCTGACTGAGACTGGAGGGACCCCAGAAGACATGGCCCTGGACTCTCTGTTAGCCCAGAACTGAAACCATTCCCGAAGCCAACTCTTCAGACAAAGATTAGACTGGACTATGGGACATAAAATGATACTTGTGAAGAGAGTGCTTCTTAGCTCGAGTAGATTACATGAGACTAAACGGGCAGCCCCTGTCCAGAGGTGAGATGAGAAGGCAAAAAGGGACAGGAGCTGGTTGAATGGACACAGGAAACCCAGGGTAGAAAGGAGGAGTGTGCTGTCACATCATAGGAAGAGCAGCTAGGGTCACATAGTAATGTGTGTATAAATTTTTGTATGAGAAACTGACTTGAACTGTAAACTTAAAGCACAATGAAAAAAAAACTTAAAAAATAATTTAAAGTTAGACATTGAAAAATTTGCTAAGAACGAAATCCTAAGAAATCCATCAGTGGAAGAACAATAGTCACACTAGTACATATTATTCTTTGGTTTCTCTACTATGGAATTTGCTCAAGTGAACCTGTTGCTTTGTTCTTTGATTTTCTGTCAGCTTAGTTTTAAGTTAATGGTAATGGTAAGATTGGCATAAGTTATTAGTTTATTAAGCCTGTAAATGCTAATTAAAATTTCGTTGTAAAGGTGTTGATTTGTGGTGTGCTTTTCTTTGCAGACCTCTGTATGGCTTTTCAATTTTAGTTGAAATTCCCTCCATGGCCTTTTGGAGTCCCTTGGTGTGTCTCCAGAGTAAATTTCCATTACTCTTCATTTCATCAATGGTGGAGTGGCAAGAAAAAGGAGGATCTGATTTGGGGTGAAAAGGTTAGATTGTGTAACTCCTTTTGGATTTCTTCCAGCATGGTTTTATTTATGTTTTACTTTTATAATACGTTTTCTGATTTCTCTGATCTTTATAATGTCCCTTTTTGCCTTCAAAGAGTTTGTCTTTGACAGTTCTGTAATCAGAGTAAATGTGTTCTAATTCCCCTTGAAGGCCCAGTCTACTATATATAAACCAAGCCTCATTTTTCAGACTTCCCCACTGATATGTATTCTGTGGCAGAGGAAATCTCTCAGTGACCTTAATTATTCGCGTATAGAAGTACATACATGTATTGAACTGCAGTCACTTTATGTATATCTACCACCATCACAAGTGGCTGTCAAGTCATTCCAACTCATGGCAGCTGAACGTGTGTCAGTAGAACTGTGCTCTGTAGGGTTTTCAACAGTTGACTTTTCAGAAGTAGATTGCCGGGCCTTTCTTCTGAGGTGCCGCTCGGTAGACTGGAACCTAAACCCTGAAATAAATTGTTGTATAAGTCAGTTGCTAAGTATTTTTCTTTATGGTTAGTAATCCTTAAATACTTCTCAAAAACTGGTAGGTGAATAAAACATATTCTACTATTCCCTAGTCATGTTGTTCTCAAAATTTTCCCACAGCTTATAAAAAAGGTAGACTTTTGAGACTAAGGTGGTTCAAAGAGCTTCTCTGGTAGTTTCTTATTATTATCTGTATTTTAGAGTTATGGTTGTCTTCTAATTGGTATTATATGATGCCACTATCTTAAATTACTAACTCCAGGCTAAGAGGTTTTTTTGTGTGCGTGTGTGTGTGTGACAGAGAGAGAGAGAGGATCAACAATTTCCATTTATAATCCATAATCCAAGAAAGAAGAGAGAAGATCAGACAGAGGACTTCATATAAGATAAACCCTTTTTCAGAAACCAAAAGAGGTAGGAGAATAGCTCAGGTTCATTGCTTGAAGGTTAAGAGGCTTTCATGTTCTTTTGGGACATCCATGTTAGATCCAGCCTAACTTTAACAAGAGTGGTCATGGAGGGGACCCAGGAAGCCTGCTATATCAAAAGGAATGATAATCATAAGGTTATGTTGAGTCATTTTTTGGCCAACAAGCTCCAGGGCATTGAATTTATGGCTAGTAGGAAAGATACCATTGGGTTGAAAACATTGTAGGTTACTGACTTCCTAAAGGAGATTATTATGGTATATTTGCAAAGGTTTTAAATTTATCAATGCTTTTGAGACATCTGCAAATATCAGTTAATTTGTGGACTTCTTAGGTTAAACTTTTAGTCCTGAGACTGATAACTACTTTATTAAAGACCAAAAGGTGGTTTGGATGTAAAACCTTAATTTTCTTTCTATATCAGAAAGTTTTCTATAGTTCTAGAATTACTATTCTTTTCCCATGTATTTTGCTCAGAAATATTGGCTTGAGGCGGAGAAAGCTGGGTTTTCAACCAAAGCCTCTACTTAGATTTAGGAACTTTTCATTGGCACTCACCTCAACTAACTGGACCTCCACAAGGGCCTGCCTTGTCAGTTGCATGTGGGTAGATATGGTACATGTGCCTCAAATGAGTGGGCAGAGAATGCTTAGTGATGAAATAGTACCTAATTCTTCAATCGTTACAGAATATCCAAGGTTATAAACCATAGCAATATGGCTAAAATTCTCATTTAAGAATAGTTTTCCCTGATGTTGACAGTGTTATCATACATTTTTCATTGGCATCCGTTGTTTTTTCAGTCCATCATGCATTATGATATGATTGAAAAGTAGCACACAATTTATGGCAGGGAACACAGTGAAATTTATAATGTGACAATGTGATAATAGCCAAGACTGTCAAAATATGCCAGCCATCCTCTGTAATTAGGCTCATTTGTGTGTTCTTAAAACTTGAAATGCGTGTATAAAAAAATCATTTTCTTCTGCTTCCTTACTGGCAATCTTGTGCAGTTCCTTCTGCATTGTCACATGTCTGTACCTTAGCAGTGTTTTGCTTTCTAACTGAGATTTGGCATGGTTTAGCTTGCTTATTGGAGCCTATCAAGTATATTCATGTATTTTCCAGTGAAAATGTATCAATTTTCTTATTAACTGATTGACAAGAAATGATGCTAAGTTTCGATGTAAAATTTGGAATTACTTTAATAAGTTATAGCTTTTATAATTAGAACACAGAAAATCTATAGGACCTTAGTATACCTTTACAGTTTAAAAAATTATTTCCCAAATCTTATTCTTGATAATCTTTCTCAGTGGGACTGATGGGCTCACTTTTTTTTTTCCCTGACCAACGGGCCAATTTTAAAGGACAAATCACCAAAGAATTAACTGTAGACACAAAAGAAATAGTAATTCAATGCCTGGGAAACATAAAGATGATAAACATGGTAAGATTAAAAAAAAACAAAACTGGAACAAAGTTGTTCAGAAGCCAACAATAATCCATAAGATTGAGAAAGTTGAGCCAGACTAAAGCAAGTGATTTAAAGAGGGTCTAAAAGTGAAAGAAGAAGAGATGAGTTTGGGAATTGCAAACTGGGATATGTGAATTAATGAGATTATAGTGTGGACCATGTTTGTTTCATTGTGGCTAAGGAACAGATATATAAAACAGGGTAAGGTAAGATGCTCACTGTATTCTTCAACCCAGTTGATGAACTAATAGTAAAAGGGAAAAAACTTTGAATCTGGGAGAGTGAGGAACTCCTTAATCTAAAATATAACCATTTCTTGCTGCAAAAATAATTATTAGTCAAAAAATAACTAATATCTGAGAGCCTACCATCTGCCACACACATTGTTAAGATACTTTGACTATATTTACATATAAAACTTAAAACAGCACTGCAAGTTGGTGTTAGCCCATTTTACAAAGTAAGAAACTAAGGTTGAAAGTTGCTGTTCAGAGTCTTTACAGCTAATAAACTTGACCTTAATACCTAATTATGAGTCAGAATCAACAGCAGTGATTCTATTCTGTTCATCTGGAGGATAGACTTTCAGTAACCTCTGCATTCTAGAAAACAGTGAAAAGAGTTAGTAGTAGTAATTTTAACCTCCTCCGCCCACCCCGGCAGCTTCTAAGAGGGAGGACAGGAACTATTCACAAAGGTTGCATTAAGAATCATAAGAATTTGGTCACTTGTAGGCCCTCAGTTGGCTAAATGTGTTCAGAATAAAGAACAGGATTAGACAGAGAGGAAGATGAGAAATACAAAAATAAAGTATTATCAGCCTGGAGCCAGTAAACATAAGGGGAAACGAACAGGCCTGTGTTCTTCATTAATTCCTAAGGGTATCATTGCATTGTCGCACAGTACAATAATCTTTAGTAGTGATATGTCAAGGGTTAGTCTAGATCCTGTAGATTTCTAGCTAAGCCCATTAAAGCAGATTTTTGAAAAAAAATTTACTTAAAATTTTTTTATTGTTTTTGTTATTTTATATAACATAAATTTTTGACACTTAACCATTTTTAAGTGTATAATTCAGTAGCATTAATTACATTGACAGCGTTGTGCAGTCATTACTATAAATCTATTTCCAAAAACTTCTTTATTACCCCAAACAGAAACTCTGTACCAATTAAGCAGTAGCTTCCCCTTCTCTTCCTCCCAGCCCCTGGTAACCTCTAACCTACTTTCTGTCTCTAAGAATTTGAAAATTCTAGATAAGTTCATGTAAGTAGAGTCATACAATATTTGTCCTCTTGTGTCTGGCTTATTTCACTTAGAATACTATTTTCAAGGTTCATCCATGTTGTAGTATATATTAGAATTCCATTCGTTTTTATGTCTGAATAATACTCCATTGTATGTATAGACCACATTTTGTTTATCTATTCATATGTTGATGGACACTTGGGTTGTTTCCACCTTTTGGCTGTCATGAATAATGCTGCTGTGAACATTGGTGTACATCTGTTGGAATCCCTGTTTTTAATTCTTTTGAGTATATACCCAGGAGACAGAATTCTGTGTTTAACTTTTTGAGAAGCCACCAAACTGTTTTTCACATGGCTGCACCATTTTACATTCCCACCAGCAATGCATTAGGGTTCTACTTTCTTCACAAATTCTAAAAATTTTTTGATTTTTTGGTAATAGCTATTTTAATGGGTCTGAAGTGGTATCTCATCGTGGTTTTGATTTGCTTTTTCCTAATGACTAATGATATTGGGTATCTTTTCATGTGCTTGGTGGCTAAGTGTATGCCTTGTTTGGAGAAATGTCTATTTAAGCCCTTTGCCCATTTTTTAGTTGGGTTGTTTGTTTTTTATTGTTGAGTTGTAGAACTTATTTATATATTCTGGATATTAAACCCTTATCAGATAAATGATTTCCAAATATTTTCTCCCATTCTGTAGGTTGTCTTTTTCACTTTCTTGATAGTACCCTTGGCACAAGAGTTTTTAGTTTTGATAAAGTCCAATTTATCTGTTTTCTTTTGTTACTTGTGCTTTTTGTGTCATATCCATTGCCAACTACAAGATCTTGAAGATTTACTCTTACGTTTTCTTCTGAGAGAATTGTGGTTTTCGCTCTTATATTTAGGTCGTTGACCCATTTTGAATTAATTTTTTACATGGTAAGAGGTTGGGGTCCAACTTCATTCTTTTGTGTGTGGAGATCCACTTGTCCCAGCACCATTTGTTGAAGAGACTGTTCTTTCCCTGTTGAATGTACTTGGCAAAAGTAGAAGTTTTGATTCCTAAAAGAAATTTTTGATTGGAAATTTGCTTTTGTGGGGCCTCCTCAGTCCACAGCCCCACAGCTTTGCCTTCTGTGGGCTTATGCTGAAAAGAACCAAAAATAGCCAAGACGGTATTAAGAACAAAACTGGTGGACATAATTAAGACTGTGTGGTATTGGTGTGAGAATAGACAAATAGACTAGTGGAACAGAATAGAGAGCCCAGAAATAGATCCACATATATAATCACCTGATTTAGGAGAAAGGTGATACGGAGGCTACTGGAGAAAGGCTCATCTATTAAATACGTGTTGCCGGGACAGTTGGATAGCGCCTCGGGAAAAAAGTATATTCTGACTCTTACTTCACACCATACAGAAAATTCAGTTTCAGATAGATTACAGGTAAAAATATGAAAGGTTTTTTAAAAAAAAAGTTTTAGGAAAACATCCTCAAGTATGAAGCAGGCGAGGTTTCTTATATGGATGTGGGACTAAGAACTAAGTCTGGCCTTTTGTTTCTGGTTTTTGAAAGTAGCCTGAGCAGTCAGGTGCTCTTTGTCTTTCTAAAATAGCCAGGCCAAACTTAAAAAACCAAACC